TGGCCTGTGCTGACTCGCTGACCACTTCCCACTTGGAGAGGGCATGTCTTAAAGATGAGAAGTCTTAAGATCCTCTGTACAGGCTCTGGTTCTTTTTTTCTATCTGTATTGTCTTGGAGATTCTCAAAGCACTTATGTCCATGAGTTAAGATAAGGCCCAGTGACAGATTATAAAGCAGGTGATTATGGAGAGCATGAGCGTATTGTCACTGCAGATTTTCACATGTCCTTTTCATCACTAATGTTAATTTCCCATGATACCGCTGTCCATAATGACTCTAATAAAAGCAGTTACCTCATCCGTCACCGCTTTTGAGTATTCATATCAGCTGGACAAAAAAAATTACAAATGTATATTTTATGAACACCCCCTCCCCCTTTATAAAAAAGATTGTGGTGAATCAATCATTCAGCCAGTCATGTAGTGGAATTAATGTGCGAGAGAAGCGGTCTCGCACCGGATGATCGTGGGTGCTTACGGCCTCTTTCTGTGAGGCATGTGGGTACAAGGCTACGCCTGCCTGCCCGTAATGCACACTAGCAGAGGAAACGGTGCCGTAAAAATTAGCAGCCTGAAGATAAACAAACGTGGGCAAATAAAAAGAAGCCACCGCAATTAACACCAACGATGGAGCGGAGTGCTAACACGGCATTTTACAGCTCTGGATTTGCTCCTTTGAAATGGGAGTCCATTTTTAACTGTGCTGTCAAGGCCTTTCTTCATTTACTGCATCGTTGAGGTGCCTAGATAATGGTAAGTCTAAAGCCATCTACAGTTTGTAGCTCTTTATTCTGCTGGATACTTTTACTGGAGCAATCTTCATGGGCACTTCCCTCATGGGCGCAACAGCAATGCTCTTCCTAGGACTTGAACCAGAGCTATTCTCACTGGTAAAATACTACTAGTCCTGCTCTTAACATGGCATGTTATGTAGTGCCATATATATCTTAACCGTAAAGTCAGCGCTTGCTAGCGCGTCAGCATTAGAGGCAGTTATCATTAGCGCAGAGAGCACTCGCTAGAGTGTCAACATTAGCCTTACAGTTAGCAATTGCTAGAGTGTTAACGATAGCCTTACAGTTAGCACAAGTGCCTGTTACCACACATTCCTGATACATCTATTGCACTTACTCCCGTAGCTGTGCAGATAACATGCTCACTAGCTACAGAGACCTCTGTCTACTGCAGTGTCATCATAATCTTCATTGCACTGCTTCATTTCCCTCCTCAGTCACCACTATTTTGGCAGAAAGCAGCCTTCAGCTTTTCAGAAATGGAAGCCTGCTCATCAATTACTGTGACTTTCTTTTCCTCGAACATCAATTGGATTGTTTCCAACTCCACCACTGGCAGGAACATCCTCCTCTTCCAACCTGCTGTAGTAGGGGAAGCTAACCAGCTCCCCATCCCAGAGCGGCAGCACCCTAACCCCCCAGTTTGTGCATGCTCCCCCCCTTCCCCAGATGCCACCATCCTCAGCTACGATGGCAGCAAGTTCATGAAGATCCAGCTACCGGTGGTGATGCACACGGAGGCAGAGGACGTGTCTCTTCGCTTCCGTTCCCAGAGAGCCTATGGAGTCCTCCTGGCCACAACGTCACGGGATTCGGCCGACACCCTGCGGCTCGAACTGGACGCTGGCCGTGTCCGCCTCTCTGTCAACCTAGGTACCCCCGACGGCCACGTCCGCAGTCACCGCCAGCCTGCCAGCCCTCTACCTTACTACACCTTTCTGACACATTTCATAACTCAACACCGTAACCTTTTTCCTCATATTTGTTCAGCTAAATTTTAAAACTCTGCAAGTTTATCCCTTTTAAATATACAATTTTCAAGTCAGAAAACATTCATATTAAACTCAGCAGCACATACAGGGTGGGTGTTGGACACTCTCTGATAATATTCATGCTCCACCCAGGACACCTACATACACACAGATACACACAGACACACACTGACTTTGTCGGCGTGATGCTGTTGCTATGTGCCCAGAGGAAATGGATGGTGTAGAGAGTCCTTCAAAGGCCAGAGTCTGCGGCCCTCAGCTCACTGCCAGATGAGCACGTTGTGGCCCTTAATCCCCAGGGAATGCTTGAAGCCTCTCCACCCCCGCCACCCCAAACTCTCACAGTGTGTACCCACAATCCTTCATTCACAAAGGAGCTCCTGTTCCAGCAACAAGGCTCCTGTGCTGTTTTGGCCCTGCAGTCAGAGTTTCTGTCCCTTCTGCTGTTCCATTACTCTCATCACATCTGCCGGTGAGCCCCCTTAAAAAGCCTATACCCTCCGTGAAAATCCCATACAAAGTCATGCAGATGGTTACTGGGGAGAAGGGAGCAGCTGTGCCTGTACTTAAACATCATCCCGCACTACCCCACGCAGCAACACAGAGCACCATCTTTTTAATATTTTGCCCCCCCCCCCCTCTCCTGCAACCTCTATAGCTTCTGCCTATCATGCTTTGGTAACAATTCTTTTTATGTGAGGGGGGAAAACATCAGGAAAGTCAACAACACAGTAAAGAGGAGAGCTGCTCTGATCCCACAGACGTCACACTGTTACAGGTGTGACTTTCCCCCCGGTCACCATTTGAGAAAACCTTGGCAAGATTCTCCAGAACCTCCTTCTTCCATAGCAGAACCGTGACAGCCATCTCAGTCCGCTTGCCTGAGAGCTGCCGCCTGTGGCACCCTGATCATCATGGTAACCACCCCCCCCCCATCCCCCTCCCATGAAGAACACCTCTCCTCCCCTTTTAGGAAAGGCAAAGCATTCCCTGTAAGGGCAAGCACCTGTTGGTCTTTGGCTGTTTGCTACCACTTTTCTGCTGCGGTTGACGACACATGACCGGCAGTGGCCTCATGGGAAGGGAAGATGGGTTTCTGATTGGTCGGGTTCCTTCAGCACTTCTTTGTCTGTTAAGGAATAACCCTGTTACCTCTCACACCTACAATAAAATATATACATACATATACATTAATGTTCATTGAAAATGTCATCCTGTGACATTTTCTAGTAAAATAATCATATATATCCCTAGCTTTTTATAGAGTACAAATTTTAATAGTTGTAATATTGTAATACTACCATTGTGGTTACCATTGTACTGCTGCAATTTCCAAACGTCTGTGGTTACAATTAGTAGCTAATTACTTATTCATTCTTTAGCAGGGCTGTTAGGGAAGTGCTGTTAGGAACCTATAGAGCACTGAAGGCGTCTGGTGCGATCTGAGCACGCTCCATAAGCCTCTGCGAGGGAGTACTCCAATCAGTGAGACCCACTGGGAGAAAATAATTATAATAATTATTGGACAAAGCATCAGTGCTCCCTCGGGGCCAGGAATGGCAGCGGCCCAGTCGGACTTGTCGCCCTTCGAGTGGCTTGCTAGGAACCCCAGTGAAAATGACGCAAGAGCTCGTCTTGACTTCCAAGAGGCCCAGCTTGACCGTGGCTGTGATCCGATGCTCTCCCCCCATGTGAGCCCCCCCCCAAAGCATCAGACTATGGCCCTGTTGCCTGATAATCAGATGGGTCTCTCTTGAGTAACACCTAATAACAGACGTCAGTCCTCCCTGATTTAAATGGTAGTGGGGGGGTGAAGACATTGCTAATGTGAAAAAGAATTTTGACACAAACTCCCTTATAGAAGTTCAGCTAGAGAGCAGTATGGAGAGGTAAAGGGATGAAGCCATCTTCTCCATCTCATGCTACTCCACTTCCCGTGTTTGCCTATTGACCACGGACAGCCGTTGTCCCATGCCTTGCTGTTCTAATCGCAAGCTGCCATTCTGGGCCCCAGCAACGTGAAGTGGTGTAGCGTGACCCGGCCATGGGGATGAGGGGGTCAGCTGGGGCTCAGAGCATCGGTAACATCGGCCCACATTGTCCATGTGTCTGTCCCCAGAGGGGTGGAGACTGTATTATAATGGATGTCTGCAGCTGTAACCTTGAAGGTTAAATTTACATCTCATCTATTCTTCCCCGTCTAGACTGTGTCAGGATTAACTGTACCTCCAGTAAGTGGCAATTCACATTCCTTTTTTCTAATGCTCTCTTTCAACCTGCTGTATGTGTTCGTGTGTGTAGCCCATTCGCGCGAGTCGTACCGTTACCTGGAAAACATATCGGGACATCCCATACCTATGGTCACTTTGGGCCAGTTTGGGATTACGATGCGACGCCCGTGCGCAGGCGACAAAGATTTGTACGGTGAAACTTGGGTGTGAAAAATCCCGGTGCTGAATGGGAACAGGGTGCCATAATTCCTCATTTTGCGATGAATTCCGGAAATAAATGAAAGGAAGGTTTAAGGCCTCTGATTTCCCCATGCTAGTAACCTTTGTGGGTGTGAGTGTGTTTGGGGTTAATGAAATATGAAAACATCACTGAAGATTCTTCCCACCCAGTTTTTTATCCTCCCTTTTCCGATTGTCGATCTGAAAGTGTCAAAATCAAAGTGCCCTCTAAGAAGCGTTTGCTTCAGGACGCGGGGGACTTTCAAAAATGCACGTCTCGCGGCTCTCATTTCCACCTCACTGCGCGACACTCGACGAGGCCTCTCCAAACAGAAAGGAAAGGCGGACTGTGATTGTTTTTTCCTCTTTTTCTCATTAACTTAAGAAGGAGCGATTGGTGGGGGTGCGGCTGGGGCTGGGGTGGGGGTGATGGGGGGCGCTCACCTCGCCGTAGGGTTGCGTCGCTGTGTCACGGGGAGAAATTCTTCCTGCATACATTATTTATGAGCAGAGATGAATTAAAGATGACCTCTGTAAAGCTGCAAAGTAGCAGCTTTGTTTACTGCGCCTGTGAATGATTCTGTTAGGTTTGCCAACGACCCGAAGGGATCGTGATGTTCAGTCTGCCGCGCTCTCCCTCACGGCCGTGTCACATCAAGGAGGGTTCTGATCTGCACACCCTCGCAAATGGGAGGGGGGGGGGGGTCACCCCATTCACAGCCCTGCATGGTAAACCGAAACTGCAGCCACCCAGGGCCACGTGTGAGAACATTGAAAGACTTCAGCATAAGGTGCCCTCACAGAACTACAGACTTCTTAACTCCTGAACAGAGGCCTACAACTTTCCTTTATTGCGTGGTTTCACGATCTCTGCCTAAGGAGAGGCGTGTACAGTTCAGTTTGAACTGCTGTGCATTTAGAGGACTAAGCTGGGGTTACCATGGCAAACAACACGGAGTGTACTGCAGTAGCAGAAGGATTCCACTGTCTAACTGCAGCCTCAGGGTCAGCAAGTCCAGGTCCCTCCTCATTTGGGCCTGAATCTCACATCCATGGTAACAGTGTCAGGGCCTGTCAGACACACCACTTTTCAGACAGTTCCCAACACACCTTTGCCTCTTTCGATACTGGGTGAGTATTTCAAAGGCTGTCAGTGCCATGGAAGAAGAGAGGGAGTATGTGGAGATTGAGAGAAGACAGGTAAGCCCTTTTATTTTAATCTTCACCATTTCTCTACATCTTAGCTGGTATAAAGAAATTCAAATAGTTTTAAATTCCCTTAAAGCGGCATTCAATGTTAAACATCAAAATAGCACTGCACATTTTCGTCCCTGAATATTTAAGCATACTCGTATCATATCTGTATGGCGTTACACTAAAAAAAATAACATTGAGTGAATATCCTGCCAAAACTCTGACAAACATATTAAGTGAAGAAGAGCTCACACAAAGAAAAGCAGGTGTCTAGATAGCTAATGTGATGGAGGAACAGCATGTGGGCTTAATGCAAGTTTCGGAGGCGGAGCTCATGTGCTGCATTCTGACATCTTTATGCACCTTGCAGCTTGCATTATAATTATGCAGTGCCACTCCGATATCCCACGGCCTGTCTGTAACAGAAAAACATGCCAGTGCCAGACTAATTGCATTTGTGATGCTAATTCTGTTGTGGATCAGAGGTGTGTGGGGCCTCACCCTGTAAATGGGGTTAGGGCACAGGCATTCAGGACGCCGTCCTTCACTCGTCCAGGATGACGGCTGCTCCCTGGCCCACTCCCTTGAGTGATCTAGGCACCGTGGTCTCCGGGGAAAGGGGCAGGTGCTTGTGACATTACGGGCTGCCAGGTGGGCATGATGAAATAAAACAATCAGGGTGTGCTTATGGCTTCCTTTACTCCTTCCCACATTCAGAGCAAGAAATAATCTAATGTTAAGCTAAGTATGTATCTGAATGTACTCCCCAGTCCCCTGTGCCTATAGTGTTAAGCTAAATGTGTAACTGAATGTATTCCACAGACCCCTGTGCCTATAGTGTTAAGCTAAATGTGTAACTGAATGTATTCCACAGACCCCTATGTAGGGTTGCCACCTGCCCCTTATATGGGACAGTTCTGTATAATGTGGGACACCACAGTTTATTTTTCGATATGGGGTGATTCTGTATTACAAGAGACAGGTGGCAACCCTACCCATGTGCCTGTAGCATTAAGCTAAGAGTATAACTGAATGTGCTCACCTACCCATGTGCCTGTAGCATTAAGCTAAGAGTATAACTGAATGTGCTCACAGACCCCTGTGCCTGTAGCATTAAGCTAAGAGTATAACTGAATGTGCTCACAGACCCCTGTGCCTGTAGCATTAAGCTAAGAGTGTAACTGAATGTGCTCCACAGACCCCTGTGCCTGTAGCATTAAGCTAAGAGTGCAGCTGAACGTGCTCCACAGACCCCTGTGCCTGTAGCATTAAGCTAAGAGTGCAGCTGAACGTGCTCCACAGACCCCTGTGCCTGTAGCATTAAGCTAAGAGTGTAATTTGAATGTACTCCCCAGCTAAGACTGTGGTTAGGTCTTCTCTGTTAGCATCTATTTTTTTTTCCAAGGTTAGGTTTTTTTATTTATTCATTCCTCTGGATTATTATACCTGTATGTTCTGTCTGGATGATAGTTAAAGTTTTGTCGTGTATCTCCTGGCTGATGTCACACCCCCAAGATGGCACCATCCTGCTTCGGGGCACCATTATGGATGCTGGGGTCTGAACGGGGCCACCTGTGCAGCAGGGAACCCCAGGCATAATTACACTGCCGTGCCTGGATCTCTGTGGGTGAGGAAAACGCGGCAGGTGCCAGACAGAGACGGAGAGGTGCCAGACTTAGACGGCAGGGAGCAAAATAAAGAGGAACAGAGGAACCGTAAAAAGCAGCCGACACGACCGGAGCCTGTAAATGAGCTCTCAGCTGCCAGTCGGCAAGAGCTGCGCCTGTGTTGGGCCAGCCCGAGCACTGTTTGGGTTCCTGATTCATGGAGCTCACAGTCTCCCCAGTACTGACTTTACTGAATTTGGGTGCCTACATTATGGAGCTCACATCTTCTTCAGTACTGGGTTTAATTTTCTTACATTGTGTTAGTGTGATAATACTGATAAGGCAGTGGTCAGACTGAATGGTGACTTTGTATGTTGCTTAAGCAGAGATAGCTAGAGAGTGTTTACCTTACTGGTGCCCCAGCAGCCACCACCGGAGGGGGTCCAGGGGCTGATCCTCCCAAGAAAGATTTTCAGCAGAGGCAGAAGGCCGATGATGTGTGTGCACACATAAGCAAGCCGTCGGTTGGTTTTTAATGGGGTTATCCTTCTGGTTTCTGTCTGAAACTGGCATAAGCCGGCATTCTGTCAGCCATGAAAGAAGCAACTCGCTGAAACAGCTGTGAAATGGGACCCTGAGGTCATGGTTCAGACACATACTGGGCCTGCACGTCCCTGTTTATTTTTGTGGATTTTATTCCAATGCCCGGTATTGTTAGAGACGACAATGATGTACTACGTAGCATGAAGAAGTAACACGCCCTGTCAAACCACATGTGGATAAGAGGCCTTGGCCAAAGAGCCAGAGAATTACCCCTGTTTTTGTTCACATAAATAAATCATACAAATGGGGTTATGTTCCAGATCCCAGTGGCTTTTCCTCTATCCCATAGTAAATGTGAATCAGAAAACAACAAATCCTCCAACTTCGGACAGACTCCACGGTATCTGTCCCCAGTCCCAGATTTGGTTTGTGATTGGCCCGAGAGCAGTGGATCATTCGCCTTCTGCTCTCATCTGCATTTTCCACGAGCTAGGGCCCCAGAGATCAGTCGAGCATCCTTGAAAGTTCGGATCAATGCTGGCTTTTTAGTATTCTTTCCACCTCTAGGTCCATCCTTCAGTCCTTTGGCCCAGTCGGCTGACTTGCGAGATTGTGCCCTGGAAGAACTGATAACTCGCACATTCGATGGTTAGAGCACTTGCACACATACACCTGGATGGCCATTTGCATTCTTGCTCTATTGACAGTGGAGGTATCAAGTGGGTACCAGGCTGAACCCAGAGCTCCCAAAGTCGTCTGCTGTTGTGGGAGAAGGGGGACCTCATTTGGCTATATGTTCAAGTATCTAAAATAGGGTTCTCAATTTCTGGTTTTGTAGGGCCAGTCTGCAACACAGTTTGCAGCTTTCCCTGCTCAAATACACCTATTAAACCTGGCAATTAACTGGTGAGCTGAATAAGGTGTGTTTGAGCAGGAAAATCGGTGTAGACCCAAATTGGGGAACCCTGGTCTAAAACTTAATGTCAGCTGTTATACTGTCACTCTCTAACTCACTAATTTTATTATTGATGTAAGACTAAATGTGTAATTTTAACATTGCCGCACTTGTACTTGCTGTGAAATGAGTGTGGCCATGTACCCGCAGAGCTCATGCCTGAAATATTTTGGCATGGCGTAGCTCATTGACAGGCACGGCAAGGCCAGTAGCCGCGGTCACCACGAGCGCCGTCGTGACGTCTTTCAGAGCCGGAGCCCATGGGGAGTCAGAGCTGCGGAAGCCAGGCTCTGACGCACTGGAAAGAGATCACAGTCCGTGTTTCCTCTCTCTGCGAAGATGCCTTTACCTCTCAGTGGAAACTCTTAACACATCTGCATGCTCACGTCGAGTTCAGAAGGACCTCACAGAAGGTGCGACAGCAGGGAGCAGCCAGTTTGCGTTTAAACAAATAAAAATAAACCGTTTGGGCATAGTGTGTCAGAAACTGGGATGCTTGACACAAATGCACATGCTGCTCCTCCTTTCTCGGCTTCAGAAGCATTTATGGTTATCTGTCTCCCTCTTGTGGCGAGGTAAATTCATTACAATTCAATAGATAAAAAGAATAGGAATAAGAACATTATAATGTAATTTATTGCCTTTGATACTTCAACATTTAAGCATCAGAAACATTAAGTAGCATGCCTTAATGCCAATCTTTTGGCAAAAGTTTATTAGGTAGAAGGGGAAGTTGCAGTGACATAAAGGAAATTGCATTGAAATTTAAGGTTTTGCCAGGTATGATCTATCTTTATAATAAGTGCTTTAAATTCACCTTCAGGTCTCAGAGGATATGTACAACCAAACGTTCTCAATGAACGCATGCCAATTTGATATATGTTGACTGACTGATTGATTAATGGACTTGGTTATTGGTTGGTCAGCTTTGTTTATCCCCATAGATGTGAGACCTGAGTAAATGATTTTTCCCACCACAGTGGGAGATTGTTAAAAGTGCCGAGGAAGGATTTCCTGTCCTCGGCACTAGGGTAGTGCCGTCCTGGAAAATCTCCTGGAAAGCGCTAACAGCAGCAGCCTGGGGAAAGGAGCTGAGCCGCGGCTCTGTGGGCTTGTGACGAGCATTTCCATTTCTTCACCACAGAGGAATGGGCTGGGTTGGGGGAGGGATCTAACCACCTTGTTATTCCTCAGACGTGTCTTAATTCCACTGTGCGAAGGTGGTCACAAGATTAGGGGGAAGAGATTATGATATGTGTAGGATGTGTTTCTGTTTACCTTATCAGCTGGAGTTAGACTTGTTAATTCCTTGCGACTCCTTTATCGTGATGGAAAGCGTGACACAGATTTGCACCCCGGCTTCCTTACCATAGTGGCCCGCAGTTTTTTTTAAGCGTTTTTTTTTTTGGTTCAGTTCGTTTCCACTAAACGATGCAGCAGGAATGTCATAAAACGTGTGTTTTAGGAGGGGGGGGGGTTTGCTGCGGTCCTTTCTCTGTGCGCTCACGGCCCTGGCCCCCGCGGAGCTGTGCGTTAACCGCTCTCTGGACTGTCCTGCAGGCAAGGGTCCGGAGACCATTTTTGCCGGCTCTAATCTGAATGATAACGAGTGGCACACGGTACGTGTGGTCAGAAGGGGGAAGAGCCTGAAGCTGACCGTGGATGAGCTGCAGCCCGTGGAAGGTACTCCCCCTCCACCGCCTCCTTTTCCACTGCTAACTCCCCCTTGCCCCTGCTGATTTTTTTCTCTCAGGGGTGTTAAGGTGGCATGATGTTCATCCCCAGGGCTGGCAGCCTCCTTTGTGAAAAGAGAGGCATCACCAGGCCATCGATGTGTCAGATCACTGTGTATTTCAAAACAAGGGGAGAGCACACCTTCAGTCATCCACGTGAAATAATATAAAGGATGTATGACAGAGTCAGGGGACAGAAAGCAGTGTGAATCAGAGGGACAGAGATACTATGAAACATTATGAAGGTGGAGGCCAGTTCAAAGCTCTTGTCCATCATGTGTTTAACCAATGAACAGGCATGGATTTCAGATTAGCTTACCTCTCTGGCAAAGTGTGTAAGACAATACATAAATAGCTGTTTCACATGTTGGAAGGAAATCATGTTTGGTTTTAGATAAACTGCTGCTATTTAGCAATCCAGTCAACCAAGAGTGCTATTTCACCCCATTAATGCTGACCCTGAAAACTTCCTGATTTCTGTGTGTAAAATACTTTTTGCTGCCATCTATTAGTTAGGAATTGAGTTCACGTGCCTCAATTGCAGCTGAGGTATTTTTGTTGATCTTTTCTGAATTGCTGCTCTAGTATCCTCCATAAATCTAAAATTCCAGCAGGATCTTCCTGTGTCAGTGTAGGAGTGTCTCAGGCACCGTGTTGGGCACCACATTCTTGAAATGGCTGCTCAGGGTTTGAGAAGGTCCCTTTGATATCCATTCTGGCTTTGGGAATGCTTGTTGTTGACTTCAGTCTTACATTTGTTCTGCGAGTGACTGTTACTTCCCCCCTCCCTTCCCTCCACCCAAGCTCAAATGACAGGTGACCACACACAGCTGGAGTTCCACAACATCGAGACGGGCATCGTGACAGAGAAACGTCATATGTCCATGGTGCCGTCCAACTTCATCGGGCACCTGCAGAGCCTGACCTTCAATGGAATGGCCTACATCGACCTCTGCAAGAATGGCGACATCGACTACTGCGAGCTCAATGCCATGATTGGCTTCAAGAACATCATTGCTGACCCTGTGACCTTCAAGTCTCGCTCCAGCTACATATCGCTGACCACTCTTCAGGCCTACTACACCATGCACCTCTTCTTCCAGTTCAAGACCACCTCCTCCGACGGCCTCATCCTGTACAACAGCGGGGATGGCAACGACTTCATCGTGGTGGAGCTGGTCAAGGGGTAGGTGGGATTTCCAGAGCACAGCTTTGCTGGGGTTCCTTTTCAAGTGCAGTCCCGACAGCCATGAACAGTATACCATCAAGCCAGTTATGCTGTTAGGTTCTCACTGGGCAGGTCCTTGCTTTCTGATGAATCAATTAAATGAGTTCTGGCAAAGGCCTTGCACAAAATAGGATAGAGACAGTGTACCTGTGTACTTTGTTTCAGGTAGATTTGTGAGGGTATAAATGAGAAGGCGTGATGGCAGGTTCCAGGGTGGGGGTTGTTATTTATGGTAGTCATTCGTCAACGAGACCCTTTAGCCAACATGTTTATGGAATGCCTGGTGACAGGTACCTGCATTATGTATGGGACCTTGGAAACGGGCCAAGCCTCATCAAGGGGAATTCCAACAAGCCACTCAACGACAACCACTGGCACAACGTGATGATCTCCCGTGATGCCAACAACCTGCACACAGTCAAGATTGACACCAAGGTCACCACGCAGATCTCATCAGGGGCGAAGAACCTAGACCTGAAAGGTACGTGGGAGATCCTCTCGCTTATGGGAGGAAAGGGGACATTAACAGTTACCCAGAGGACAATATATCTATGATTCTATACTGTACATACAAACCAATTTATGTTTGTGTTTGGCATTATCCCCAAATGTCTTAAGCTGCATACCCAGTGGGATCAGGCTGTATAAAGTGGAAAGCCATCAAAGATTCAGACAAACAATAACATGGCATAACAAACATGAAATACTGGAATTAATACTGGAAGTGTGGACAAAGTAATGCCACCAACTGCATTAGTGAGGCTCCCATCTAAGAGGGGAACTGAACTCTATGGCAAAAGCAGGTCTGAAGGAAAGTTGGGTGACAGGGAAAGTTGTTATGCCTGGCTTTTATATGAGCTGAGGCTGGCAGGGCCCACCTGACAGTCAGGCAGCACCAGGGTGATGGTTTCACCTCGCCTTTAGACTTAATGGATGCTGACTGCAGGCACACAAAGGCGGGTAGCCTTCCAGTGCCAGGGCCTCGATGGGGAAGGTGAGGCTTTCATGTAAGAGTGAACTGCAGTCATTAGGGGTGTCTCTCGGGGAGAGATACTGTCACATTTTAGCTGCTTAGATATTTCTCATTTTCACTGGAAATCTGTGTTATGAAATCAGGTCGGGCCGCACCAAGTTACGGTTAAACAGTCGTGGGTGCCATGGTCATCACAATGCAGTTTCCCATCAAGAAAAGCTGAAAATGATTTGAAGAATCCAGAGGCTGTATCATTCCCTCATCTATTCTGACTAAAATCACATATTTTTTTATCTCCACCACAAGGGGGCAGTAGTGCCACGTGTTGCAAAGCGCAAACGGCACTCTTTTTCTTCACCCCCAGAGAGCTGAGATAAAATGTGTGTCTAGCATCCTTCTCCATATGTGTCTTCTGCCCCAGGCGACCTGTACATCGGAGGGCTGGCCAAGGAGATGTACAGGGACCTGCCCAAGCTGGTGCATGCCAAAGACGGCTTCCAGGGGTGCCTGGCGTCGGTGGACCTGAACGGGCGCCTGCCGGACCTGATGTCAGACGCCCTGGCTTGCGTAGGGCAGATCGAGAGGGGTTGTGAAGGTGAGGAAGAGCGACCTCCAGCCTCCGAGTCTGACTGCCTTGTAGCAGGTGCCCCCTGCCCCCACCCCTGTCCTGGTCCTCATTGCCATGATGTGCCCTTGCTAAGCACCTCACCTGCCAGGGTGAGGTGCCTTTAATCACGTGTCAAATGTCGGACAGAGGAAATGTGTTTGTGTGCCTTTGTGTGACTGTCACGGGTTATTAGGTAATGTGTTATCCTGCTGCTGTAGGATGTAGTGGTAGGAGCACAGTGCCAGCTAACTGCTGGTTTATCTGAAATGTGAACTGTCTGGATTTCCTCTGTATCTCTGTTTTTATACTGTCATTTTATACTTTTGCATTTATGTGTTTCTGCATAGGCCAGAACGTTCCTTATTTTCATCATAGGGGCTTACCAATGTTTCTTAAATCAAGTAATGGACGTTATTAAACTTCAGCTGTACAGTCAAATCAGGAGAGAACCGGACAGCATCCAGACAAATTGCCAGCGCTCCCATGGCCCCCCAGCTCCACTCAGCCATGTGTTCAGTCACATGATGAGTGATCAGCCTTCCCATAGGTCCTGGCACAGCACAGTTATTTGAAGTACCGTTCGTCAAATGACGTCTAGGAAATCGAGCGTCTAAAATCAATAAATAAAACATAAGTTGCAATTCCAGCGTATTATCCGGGTTCCATTTCTTTACAATCGAATTACGTCCATTTGCGCATCAGTATTATTAGTGTTCTCCTCCGTTTCATCTGCGTTTGACTCTGTATTTATGAATGCCAGATGAATCGGGCTGTTTGCCAGCAACGGACCTTGTGAATTATGTATGATGTTTTTGTTGCATGTGTTGAATTATTATTCTGTTTGAATTGCATGCACAATAACCATTTGTTTTTTTTTTGTCATGATCATTTTTGTGGTTTTAATTTCATGTGTCTCACTGCGTCAGGTCCAATTTCAGCTCCTTATTTGTTGTGAAAAGCTACAAATGCCCCCCCCCCAAACATCTCTTCTTATAATGGAGCTCGTAACTCTTTGTTAGGCTGTTGGCTTTCGCTCTTTCCCTCGACGACGTCGTATAACGGTGTCTGGACTCATTGTCGTTGGCGTCATTTGCCACCATCATCGCCTCTGACTTCATATCCACAAAAAATAACTCATTGTCAGTTCAGAATTTTCTAGGTGTTGTATTTAAAAAAATTCTTTAAATGTACGAGTTTTTCGTTGTTAAGGTTTTTTTTGTTTTTTGTCTACATGCTCAAGTCGCGCTACATGAGTGCAGTCCTCCAAAGCTACAAACTGTCCCGTCTTCCATTCACTCCTCCTTCCACCTCTCATGCTGGCACATTTATCTTGTTTTCCTCTGTCTTCCTCCTCTTCCTCCTCTTTTCCCCATTTCATTGCCTCCTCTCTGCACAGCTCTTCCTGTCTCTCTCTTCCTCCCTCTTTCCGTATGATTTGATGCAAACCGCTGACATTTCAGTGCTTTACTAACATTTGATATATTTTGCCTTCTTTTCCTTCTTTTTCCTTTCGTTTTGCTGACAAAAGTCTCTGTGATGAAAGCTGGCTTGCAAGGTAGATAGCCGCCCGGCCTGCTGGCCTCTAATCCCGCTTCCCGCTCACACACTCGTTTCTGCAACGAAGATTCGCAGTTAAATCTGTGCGGAAGTCACTTTTATCTTCTGCTAAATGAATGTCTTGCTGAGGCGTGGTGAATGCCGGCGCGTGACGACTGTCTCGTGTCGGTGTCCGGGGTGGGGTGGGGGGGTTTAGCCTCCGGGAACCTCCCGCATCATGGTCACCTTGGTGTCCCCCTGCTTATTTTCTCCTGTTTTCCATCCACGTCTTTTGCCCCTTCCTCGTATAACTCCAGTTCTGGTCTCTCTTTTCACGGCACGCTTTCTGTTTGGCTGTCAGCCGCATGCCGTGTCCGGTCCGACTTGAAGCACCACCCCTACAGAGCCCCCCCCCATTTGTTTATGTAGATACCCGTTGGCAAGCCCATGTCGTCAGTCTAAAAGCATTCCTGCTAGATGAGTATGCTGCTTACTTCAGTCCTAATAATAAAATATCAGATGCTAATGAGGCAATAAAAACGTATGTGTGGAATGACTTCAGCTGGTTAAATTTGCTCAGGAATGTGACTCATTCCTGAGCAACATATATAACAAGTCAGCAGTTAAACTATTTCCGTTCACGTGTTCTGCTTTGTACCACCCAACGTGGAAGCTGTTCTATTAATGAACCCATGATGCATTATCCCAGATGACAGACTCTTAACAAATCCATATTAATATTGATAATCTGTCCATTCATCTTTGAATTGCTTATGTATGGACTGACGGGGAGGCCCTGGGCTTTTCTCAGGCAGCACAGGGCACAAGGCAGGGAGGGAAGGCAGCCCACACACCCAGGGCATGAAATAATAATAATAATAATAATAATAATAATAATGGTCAGTCTCCAGTGTGGCTGGAACCTGACCAGGAAAATCAGTTTCGATGGTAGATGATCATGATGGTAGATGGTGCATATAATGGAATTGAATTTGATTTTGTGTGTTTAGATCTCCCAACACATCACATACTGATAATGCCCTCAAGATGGATGATGGCATCCACACTAGTACACGTTCATCCCACCACCATTCGGACATGAACTGTGGGCAGCTAATGCTGATTGCTGGAGAAGAGGTTGGGTCCCGTGAACCACCTGTTTTATTGGAATGACCATCAGCCAATGACAGTACTGCACTGCTCCTGGTGCCCTTACGGAAAGATATCAGCCAACATGGAGTCAGCTCCAGGGGGAGTTTGCTGTACAGGACAATGACTATTGTCAGTATTACTGCAATCATTAGAAAACAAGATCAACCAAAAACTCTCTTTTTCCCAGTGCGTCCTAGTGGGATTGGGCACACTGTAGAGTGATATTGTCCATCAATCTGTCTTGGCGTGGTCCCTGGTCGCTGGTCTTGCTCCTCTTCACAGGTTCCTCCAGAAACTTCTTTTCCAAGATCTTGAGGGAGAGTTCAGTGGAAGTTAGTTGGGATGAACAGACCTGTGCACACACCTGCCACAAAAGAATAAAAATAATAAACTAACAACATTAAACAGTTAACAATATTAAAAATAATGAGAGAAAATATAAGTAGTATTTAAACCTGGTTAAATCGTTTATAAACAGGAGATTCCTGATTTGTCTGTTTTAAGTATGTGTGTGTGTGTGTGGAGTGTGACTGTGTCCATGTTGTGGGGGGGGAGGGGGGGGGTTTAGAAATGGGGGTGCAGTGTGGATAGACGTGATGTGACAGTCTGTGGATAGACGTGATGTGACAGTCGTTGAAGCCACAGCCCAAGTCCTACAGAAATGACAACGAAAGCAAGCAATCTCTCTCGTGTTGAGGCATGAAGCCTTGGGGTCATCACACTGAGCGTGTGCGAACCCAGGGGCGGCCAGGCGCTCCCCGGGGTGCATGGAGCTTGCACGCGTGCGTGTGTGTTCACGTGCATGTGTTCGCCACGTCAGTCAGAGCTCGCTCTGTGTGTCTGCTGCGCGTCTGCCCATGGCTGCCCTCAGGTGTGTGATTTTGAACATAGAAGCCTGTCCAAAACCCTACGAGTCTGTGAAGCCTCCCCCCCCCCCACCCCGATACTCTACGTGCACTGGATCTCTTGGTGTGATGTCGAGCTACAGTAACAGCATCTGTGGCATTGTCAGGTCTGATGTTGAGAGGATTTCAGCTGAAGCTGAGGTGTCACTGTGGGCTGGGCTTAAGGGGGGGCTTTAGGGGGGCTCTCAAATCCCGGTGAATGATCCCGGTTCCTCCTCCTGTCCCCAACTAGGCCCTAGCACGACCTGCCAGGAGGACTCCTGTGCCAACCAGGGCGTCTGCCTGCAGCAGTGGGAGGGCTTCACCTGCGACTGCAGCATGACCTCCTTCGGAGGGCCGCTCTGCAACGACGGTGAGTCACACCTCACTTCCTGTTCGCCACCGTGACACCGGAATATGCTGATCTTGCTTAATATCCTTTTTCCTTATTGGATGAAAAGCATATTGAGAATAAAATTCTCTTAATTGGTTTGCTGTTCACGCTAAGCCTGTCTTAACACTGGTTTTATGGAGGTGCACGAAGATGCATCGGTGTGGCCCCGACTGTTTGGCACATTACATTCAGCCTCAATTTTCTTAGGAAATTTTCCTTCAGAGTCACGTGTGAAGGTAAGTATTGTGACACATTGTTTTTGCCGCCTCAGAGAGCCTGTACTTTCCACGCGTCCTTCACTTCCCATCGCCACGGTGCTGTCGCCTTATGGTTCTCGCAGTGGTCCCACCCAGCCTTCGTAAGGGAGTCCTTCATCGGCTTCACCCCCCTTGCACCTTTTCCCCATGTGACTCCATGTGTCAGATGGTAACGAGCTGAAAGGTTTCTCTGCCCCTAAATCTCAGACCGTGTGATTTTAAACTGTGAACTGGGGGGGGGGGGGGGGCTGATTACATGAGTGCTACTTAAGAAGCAGTATATTGTTAGTCCTCTCTGAGCATCAGGGCTTTCGTATGGAAAAGGTAAATATAAGACTGTAGGCACTATGCTGCCAGGTGCGGATAATTCACACAGATGTCCCTTCGTGTTCAGTGGTGCCGGAGTTGACAGGAAGGCACGCAGCCACGCTGATCAAGGCATCGCGGCAGGTGTTACCACCAAAGCCCGCGACAGAGCTTTATTTAGCCTGCCCAGCTGTACCCCACAGTTAGCACCAGAGGGCACTATAGAGACATTTTTTGATGTGGCTGCCTCTTAAACTCAGACTGCAGAGATCTGATTCATTCCTTTTTAAAATCACATTGAATCTGATATTTGCACGGTTAAATATATGTGTGGCGGCAGGGTTAATTAGGTTATGATTCGTGGATTTTCACTTTTCAAAGCAACAGAAATGTGCCTGGGACTGACGATGGATGTTCCCTTGCACTCTAAAAATAAGTTAGTATTATATTAGTAATATTTTTGCCTGTAATTGAGTACAGCTGAAATTTTAGTAAAAATTGTATTACAGCCAGAGCAAATATGAACACATTTGGATGATTCCGTGTGGTACCGTTGCTGTGGTGAAAAGGCTGCAGATAGGGTTCGCCTTTCCTTGTGTGCACATCGGGCTCTCGTTTGAGCTGCGCGACGCCCCGATAAACTGGCACGATGACCTTTCCTCCCACATCGCTGCTCTGTTTCTTGCCATGTCAGCCACGTATCTCTCACCAAAATGAGGGGTCCGTTTTAAATCCTGATGGGCTGCCTGGCTGCATGAATCGCCCTTTAATAAGGGGATTCAGCGCACAGTTTGTGTGGGAGTGTGATGTGGCTGTAATGTGAAGGAGGAGGTGCATGGCACCAGAGGTCCGGGAGACCTCGACACCAGGCCGGAGCTGCATGGGGGAGGGCAGTGGATGGGGCAGTGAGGAAAAAAGGAACAAGTGAGGGAGGGGGAGAGAGAGAGAGAGAGAGAGAGAGAGAGAGAGAGAGAGACTTTTTGGCTGTTCTTTCTGTTCATTAAGCATTGTGAATGTGTGGTTCACAGCCATACATCTTAAAGGAAGCCTCCTCGCCGTAATTGGAGACCTTCATCCCACAGTGAGGAGGGGACCTGCGCTCTTGTGGCAGACTGGCATTACTCATGGCTAACAAGCCCAAGTGTCCCTTATTATCCTCCTTATTTATTTATTTATGTCCTCCCTTCCCCTCCACCCCAGTGCGCCGGCTGAACCAGGCCCTCAGAATGGTGCCGCTGAGATGAATGTACTTTCTCATGCAAATGTGCGTTGGGGAAGTTTGATCGTTATCCTGCCCAATGAGGAAGAGCCATAATGCGCTGAATGGACAAATAAATAAATAACTGGCCCCGGAGTGGTCACTCTGTGCCCGTGACGTGTGCCGTGATGAGGGAGTGCAGCAAATGCTAATGTATTCTGGATCCTCGTCTGCCGCGCTGATAAGCCGCCTGCCTTCCTTTGTTCCTGGCAAACACACTGACAGGTTCTAGCTCCATTGCTCCCGCAGGCCACTATAACTGAGGGAGCTCTCCATTCTTGGAGAGCGGCAGTTTATTGTGAACCCCCGCCCCCGTCACATTGTGACCCCTCGTCCCCCCACGGCTTACACAGAGGGGTTATCGTGAACCGTGACCGGCCCGTGAACCTGGATCCTGAAACGGCCTTTGGCCAAGCCGCGCTCTTGCATTTCCTTTTGGAGAGACACCGTTTGGGCTTGAAAATGCTCTCAGGATGTGGGTGATTATTCCCAGAGTCATGTGATCCTACACAGCAGTGTGTTGTTGTCTTACTTTATATTTACAGAGTGTATTTGGCAATACATGAAACAAATGTATCCAGGTGTGTTTGAGGCGTTTTACTTTTTTGTTAGCCTTCATGTGCCTGTGGTTCAGACCGGGCCTGGTTAGGAGTTAGTGGGGTGGATCCTTGTGGAGCGCCTGAGGCAGAGCGGGCTCTTGGGCTGTCACGCTGGCGGTGTCGGGACACCTCTGCATTCCCTGCGAGCTCCTGGAGTGTGACTCCCTGTTTCACGGGCCCCCGGTCCTTGTCACCCCAGGGTCTCGGTGTTCCTGCCTGGCAGTGGCAGGGGGGTGCAGGGGCACTTTACCGTGGCACGTGACATGGTTTGCGACTGCTGAACCGTTATCCCGCAATGGCAAGGTGCTTGGCTATAAGCCTTGAGCTCACTCCACTATTCCACCCCCCACCCTCCCCACCCAGACACGGTACCCTACTGTCTGCTTGTACTGGCACTGCAGCGCCCCCTTGATTTGTACAGTATAGTATAAACAGGTTTGCGGCATTTGTTCCAGTGCCTGGCAGGAACGTGGTTGGGGCAAGGGCCCTCCCTGCTTACCTCACAGCACCGACCCTCCTGTGTGCCCGGGAACCTGCTCATTTAAATATAAAACTCTGCCTGCTTCCTTCAGCCCTTTCCTTGTAAAGTCCCCCCCCCCCCCCCCCATCTGTCTCTGTAGTGCTGCTGTCCACTGGGCAAGTTCGTAAAAAAAGGTAAGGAAGAGTGAGAACAGCCTTCAGCTATCATTAGCCCCCCTCTCTGAAGGAGATGAAAGGGGCCCCAACACGCCTCAGCCCGAGGGCCCTTTCTCAGGCGGGCTGGTGGTGGCAAATTGCCTTAAATGACTCCTGGCCGCCAGGCTAAGACTCTGTGCGGAGTCATCAAGCAACAGACTCCTGCTTTCCTGAGACTGTGACTCAAGGCTCCAGCAAAGCTGTCCATGACAACATCCAGAACCCCCCCCCCCCACCTCCACCGTGTTTATCCAGCCCCCATCTACCACTGATCCAAACTGTACTGTGCAGCTGTTTTTAAAGATGTTTACAGGGAGTTGAAAATATGTGCAGTTTTCTCCCCATCTGGCATTTTCCATCTTGATTTTATCAAACCTGAGTATAAGAGGGAAACGGAGGAAAAGCGAGTCACCAGGTTGGTGCAGGGGTGAAGTCGGGCATCGCGGGGGTGTGGTGGGGGGAACAGGACTGAGTGTGGCAGAGAGTGTAAGGGACTGGGGGCCGGACGGTGGGAGTGGAAGATCCAGGCTGGAGTGGTGAGGAGCATGAATGACTGTGTGCTCGGTGTGTTTTTAGGGCTGCAGTGACAAGCACAGCTGTGTGTCGTATGCTGCAGCAGAGATCAGAGACATGCTAGCTTCTCTGTTCTCCTCGAAAGGCTCAATTCTATCTGCGCGCATGTTTCTACGTAACAGAGGCAGTAGAAAGGGAATAAAGCCTCAGGCAGGAATAGAGGAAGGGACTTAAATATGTGGGGGGGTGGGGTGCGTGTGTGTGCTGGGGGGGTCACTGCAGGCGCGTGCACTCATGTGAGATGTGGGCTGCTCGAGCGTTAATCTCTACGCCTCGGCCGAGGTTCGGAGAGTAATACACTGCGACAGGCTGCCTCGTCCTGCTCAGGCAGGTCTCAGAGGGTCTTTTTCTGCCGTCCCCCCAAACCTGCCGTCAGGGACATTAGAGCCGTGACAGTACTGCATCTGAGGACCCAGTTGTGGGCAGGGCTCACTGTCTTCCTTTTCAGGCAGCACCGGCTGAGATTCCTGACCCGTTTCCTCCTGTTTGTCTCCGCTCCTCTCCAGCTGACCCCGCTAATTATCCCTCGCCTTTTTGGCGGGATCTGCATGCAGGACCCCGATGCCCTTGATGTGCGCTAAGGCTGCACTCTCACCGAGCAGGTTGTGGGGGTTTGGGGTGGGGGGGCTCCCGGCCCGAGCACTCCGGCTAACGTGCCGCCTGTGTTTCTCCTCATTTCATGGGGCCGCACTGATTACCCCTCCAACTCCGGTCACCTGACCTTTTTTATGTAACTGTGTAACCACGATTGTCATGGCAACCTAACAGACCACCCATTCCCAGTGCTAAAAGAACACGTCTTCACTGACATGTAATCCTTTTGTTTACCCCTCCTTCCTCCTGACAGATGTTTATTCTCACCCATGCAGGTCTCCCATTGAAAGTAAGTCACACTGGGCATCCTTCAGGAGCCCAGTGTCCGTTAAGCGCAGTTAGTGAGGGTGATGCAGCACATCCTAACGGTCACTAGGCTTGTTAGTGTTTTCCCCTGTGGAATCATGCTGATCCCAAACTAAGGTTTGGCCCGCTGGGTCAGCCATGCGGCATTTAACCCACCGAGGGCTGCCACCACTCCCAGAAAGCTGCCACCACTCCCAGAAAGCTGCCACCACTCCCAGAAAGCGCTCAGTCTGAATTATTTGCACCCCGACAAGCTGGCTGGCATAGTCGCCTGTTGATGCTAATGTAATATAGCGCCTTAGCTTCTCACCTGAGTATGTGATCGCAGCTGTGGATAGTCCCTTTGCTTATGCTGCTGTTCATTGGGGGTAGGTGGGGGATGCGGGCGTCGCTTGATGTGCGATATGACAC